CAGCCTGTCAGTGTGGGACGCTCCCTTCAGACTGAAGAGACTCAGTTCCTGTAGCCTGTCAGTGTGGGGCACTCCCTTCAGACTAAAGAGACTCAGTTCCTGCAGCCTGTCAGTGTGGGGCACTCCCTTCAGACTCAAGAGACTCAGTTCCTGCAGCCTGTCAGTGGGGGACGCTCCCTTCAGACTGAAGGGACTCAGCTCCTCCAGCCTGTCGGTGCGGGACGCTCCCTTCAGACTGAAGAGACTCAGCTCCTCCAGCCTGTCGGTGCGGGACACTCCCTTCAGACTAAAGAGACCCAGTTCCTCCAGCCTGTCAGTGTTGGACGCTCCCTTCAGACTGAAGAGACTCAGTTCCTCCAGCCTGTCAGTGTGGGACACTCCCTTCAGACTGAAGAGACTCAGTTCCTTCAGTCTGTCAATATGTTTTCTACAACCTAGTGATTAAAAGTCACTAGCTTTGTAAATGAGGCCCTACTACTGCATAATACAGTTAACCCGAAAGACCCCTGGCTCTGAATTCAAGACCTTTAACTCTCTATCCCAGCATTCTGTCTGTCTTGTTGCTCTCGAGACGATCTCCCCCGTTGTAAAATTTGCCCGGGCGGGGGGGGGCTGGAGGAGACGGGAGAGTCTTTTTTGATCTTCCTCCACAACAGAAGCGGACGGAAAAACTTGCTTGCAGGTTTCGGAAAACCGGGGCGTCTGTGCTTGGTTCAGGGGGTTTAGGACCGAGCACCACTGGGACAAGACTCTTGTCTTTCAATTCCAGGGACGCTGTGGGATGTCCATTGTGGGCTCTCGGGGGGGTCTGTCTCTGTCTCTGATGCACCGCTAGAAAACAAACCCACCTTTTTTCGGGAAAGGGCTTGAACAAAACCCAGCCGCCCTCTGCTGCAGTGTTGCTGCAGTCGGAAGGCAGAAGGCAGGTTTTAATTGTCTCTCTGCGAGTCCGGACCGAAAAAGTCCTGGAATCGTCGCGTCGCTGGATAACCCGGGGGTCTGGCTGAGGCCGTGTGAAAAAACTTGCTCGCCGGCTTCCGACGGGGAGATGAAAAGACAGAAAATCAGATCCCAGGAGGACAGGCAGGAGCTTGTGTTGGGACACAGGGGCTCGGCTGCCTCTGGCGTCCACAGCCTATAAGGTTGGACGTCGAAAAGGTGTGCCCTGCTTTTTCGATGTCGGAGCTTCGTGCCCGAACCAGTCTCGGGCCCCGATTGGATCCGACCGGAGGTTCTGGCTGTGTTTGTATCTATTTCAGACGAGGTTCAGAGACAGAACCTTGACAAACTGCAAAGATACAGGACAGGAGGGTTTAACAAGGGGAAAAAAAAACAGATCGCATTTTAAATTAAGATTCGTCATCTGACACTGTAGGACGAGGCGATTTTCCCAATCTTTCGGAATATCCAGGCTGGGATGCTGTCTGTGGGGAGTTTGCATGTTCTCCATGGCTTGGCTGGTACTCTGTCTTCTTAAGAAGCTGTTGCGTTAATGGGTTTCTGGGAAAACTGGCCCTGGTGTGTGTGTGTGTGTCCAGTGATGGACTGGTGTCCTGTCCAGGGTGTGTGTGAGTGTGTGTGTGTCCTGTGATGGACTGGTGTCCTGTCCAGGGTGTGTGTGAGTGTGTGTGTGTCCTGTGACGGACTGGTGTCCTGTCCAGGGTGTGTGTGAGTGTGTGTGTGTCCTGTGATGGACTGGTGTCCTGTCCAGGGTGT